CATACATACTGGACCTTTAAGATGACTAGTCTCGGCAAGCTGCAGAATTGGGTTTGGGGGGGGGGCATAAGTCACAATATATTGTGTAAGGTAGTGTAACTTATTTGTCAGACAATTAAACAAATAACTAATATGAATAATAAAATAGACGAATATGGACCATAAAAGTTATACAAAATAATACTAATATGGACCATATTTATTTCAATCTCGCACGTGTCAGTTTCTAGGAGGTATTTGATCTTTTTCTGAATTCTTATATTAAAATTGTCTTATATTAAACTAGTTTTGCAGATGACAGAAACTAAGACCTGCCTGTAGGTAAATCTGAAGTAGGTAAAACGTGAGAAGATCCAACCTAATGATATGATGATGTTGACAGTCAAGTATTTAACTTTTTCTTCGGAATTTTCAATATTTTTAACCTGAATGATGGATGTCCTACTAGTATTTACACCTTATCTTTATAGATAAAATCATTGATCTTGAACTGCTTACACGGCATGATCTTTTCTCTGTAAAAATGTAAAAACAAATAATTGAGAGAATTCAAATATTTAAAAGTGAAAAATTATGGACACGTTTTATATAAATAAATAAACTTCACTAATTAACTTTAAAATGAATTATTTATTTGTAGAAAGAAATACTTTTTATTTCTATATAAACTATTTTATATTCATAGGGAACAAATTAAAATATTAATATTATAATGCAAATATAAGTATTCATATTGTAAGGAGCGAATATATTTGCAATATTATAAATTATTATTTTCTGGTTTGGTGGGGGGGGGGGGTGTCATGTTGACCCATTCTGCAAGCGCCCATGGTCACATAGTTTTAGTTATGTTGTGACATAGTGTTAGTTATGTTGTGACATTTTGTTAGCAATGTTGGGTCATAGTGTTAGTAATGTTGTGAGTTAGTGTTATTTAAAATATCTAGACTCATTTTAGGCTGATCATATAAAGATAACAAAATTATTTTTTTGTATCAACATTTTCTTTTGTTGAAGTAAATATCCTCAAAAAGCATGAATGTATTGAATGGATCTATCATGATGTTTGATGGCTTGCTAACGGCGATTTTGGATTATTTATTACCTAGAATTTTCAAAAAATATATGATTCAAATTATAGTTGAAATTTATTTCTTGTTAACTTGCGATAACCAGCCCCACAAAATTTTATTCAAACAGCCCCATCATGAATAATTTGCTGTTGAATTTATTTCACATTGAAACATTTTAGTTAAAGAAAATATCTTTATATTTTTTTTTTGTTTTTTATTAAAATCTGAAATGAATAATGTGACTTGTAACTGCTGAATGGATAAAAGAAACATAGTTTATAAATTTAACTTCAATTGAAGAAACAATTCATAGTCGTAGAAAATGTACTTACCATGTTCAAAAAGGACATAACTTTTGGACACACTGAAATGGTTTGAAATCAAGAATGCCCAGACATTTTGTACATACGCATTTTTTTTCAGTTGTTTTACATTTCACATCATTTCTGATCTTTAAAATATAAATTATGAGACAACCAGCACAAGAAGTCAAGCAGCCCACAAGACATTCAGCCCACAAGACACCAGCCCACTAGACACTAGACCACAAAAGGCAACCAGCCCACAAGACACCAGACCACAAGACAACCAGACCATGAGACAACCAGCCCACAAGACAACCTACCCCTCACTCCCCTAACCTTTAATAGTCTTATTAAAAATGTTTCAAAAAGACAATATTATTTTTTAATATATTTTTAACTAACACGTGTCTCGGGGTTGGGGTGCGGGGGGTGGGGTTGGAGTTGACCTGCAAATGTTTGTTTGCTGTGTTTCCATTTCGTCATTCAAATCACGGAAGGGGGGGGGAGGGGGGGGTTGACGAGTAGGGGTTGTCGTTGCAGTAACTTGATTTTAGTTGGTCCACGGGCAATGGGAAATTATACATGTTAATATACGGTAAAACGAGATTTCATACTTGTTTCCCTTAACTTACCGTCGACCTCAGACTAATGTTGAACTGGGTCTAAAAATATTACCAATATTCGCCACCATCATAACTCAGCTTCCAGCAGTGTAAACTATATATACATTGTCGTGTGGGTCAGCAAGGCTCAGCAATCTGTCCACTGGACTTCCAGGGCTGACTTACAATCTAGTCTAGATTTTCCCATCAAAGGAAAATTAATTCAAAGTATATTTCCCATTTTTTGCCGAGGGTTCTATTTTACCGACCCTGTGAATCAGCCGTCCTGATTTAAATCCCGAACAACGACCCCCACCCCCAAACCCAAACTTGGCACATTGACTCGTTGCCATGACAACAGATTCTTTCAGTCACACTACCCAACCCCAAAAAAAAAAGTTTTTTCATGTTTTTCAAGGAGAAGATGAAGGAAATACGTTTTCGCGAAATCTAATTCCCGATAACTGCGCTAATTTTTTTTTTTTTTTAAATATCGCAAGTGCGTTTGGTGCGTAATTTTCCTATTGGTTTTCTGCAATAGTTTAAAAAAAAGTTTTTTCATGTTTTTCAAGGAGAAGATGAAGGAAATACGTTTTCGCGAAATCTAATTCCCGATAACTGCGCTAATTTTTTTTTTTTTTAAATATCGCAAGTGCGTTTGGTGCGTAATATTCCTATTGGTTTTCTGCAATAGTTGGTGGAATTAATCTGTGGTGTAAAAGCGGGTGGGTCATTAGAATATGAATACAGTTCAGGGGCGTGAAAAAATGTGCGCTTTCAAGCCTTGAGTGGATTCTTATAAAGTGCGTTACTTGTAAGGATATTTTTTTAAAAAATTCAGCCCCCCCCCTACCCCCATTGCTCGATATTACTTTTGATAAAGGATTTCTACGAAAAACTTTGTTTTTAGTTTTTTTCTTTACAAATTGTAATTGTGTCAGATTGTTCCTAAGTTGCAAGGGTTTGTGCAAGGTTCAATGCTTGATGTCCTACAGTTCACCACCACCACCATTCACTGTCTCTTCTCATTGAATTGACCACAACCTGTGACACCTACCCTAGCTACGCCACTGACGACAGCCCATGGGCGTGTCAATGATTCACTGGTGTTGACGTCTGTGTTAAGAACTATTTATACATTTTAGCACTTGCCACTTCACGCTGAAGATTGTTGGTTCCAATATGTTGTTCGACAAGATTGTTGAGATTTTCTTTTCAAAAGTGCTTCTTTCGCTGTTGATATTTTAGCTACTATTTAACTATGTTTTATTGAACTTCATGCACACTATTATTATTCTCTAACTTTTAAAATACGGGGCGCTATGAATGAGTTTATTTCCCCAGTGGCGTTGGTGGATATTAATTTAAGAATCACTTGTCTATGGAGTGCACACCAAGACGTGGGTAGAAAATACACATATAATTTTTAGTCAAAATGAACCAAACATATAGTGATAGCTAGAAAAGAAATGAATCTACTTGCTTGTGTCACGTGGGTAGTAGAGGTAAATAGAAGGACACTCGGATGGACCATTTAATGAATAATAAAATTTCAAAGATCTAAAATATCGCTTTTCAAATAACAATTTGAATTCTGCACTGATAAGGGAAAATAGTTCTGTAGAAATTGAACAGCCCCAGTTGAAATTCTTAGCTCCGCTATTTATAAATCCTACGTTGAATCCAGTTGACCCCCGTACTCCTCGCCCCTCCTCAGTTACCTACCCCATGCCGAGGGGCTTGTTGATCTTTATTTGATTCACTTATTGATTTGTTGATGAGACATATTTTTCGAATAGACATTGATTTCTTAAAATGTTCTATATATACAGCTTACTGAATTGGTGACAAAAAAGCAATTAATCAATATTGGAGTTTAGTTTCAGTAATTGGCAGAATTTCAGTTCTGGGTTGTGTACCACATTTAAGGCGACTCCTTTTCTATTTTATTGACAGTAATAACAATAACAGTAGTAACAGTAACAGTAATAGGCTGTGTTTCTTATAGAGGTAAAAAGATATATTTTTTTTAAAAAGTTAAATCGTTAAAGAGTGTTGGTACAAACATAACATATTATTATAATTATTATTGCATTTAATCGTTAATCAGTGCCTAGACATTGTAAGGAATTCTGGATTTCTCTGTTTGTCTCTATGTGGTCTCCTTCCATTGTAATATTAAAATAACTCATATGTTACCGAAAGTGGTTCAGCCTACGCATTCGACATGTTAGCATCACTGCTGTCACTAGACAAAAATAAAACATCTTACTGTGTTATCACTAATTAGCATAGTTCCACCGTTTCTTTACAATAGCACAGAAATGTGATTTTAAATTTTATGACAGATACATTTATTTCAATAGAGCAGTGGTTCTCAATTTTTTTCAGTTATCCCCACACTCCTTGGCATTATACAACCTCCTCTAGCGCCCTCTGTGTTGCATTCACCTCAGCAAAAATATTCAGGACTTAAGTCATAACAATTGGTTTGGAAGCTAACAACACAACAAATGCTCTCCTCTGACCATGCAGCGGTGCTCACTACACTCAACGTAGTTCCCCCAAAGAACCCACCTGTCTACAGGACCGTGCGTGACATAAACGCTATAGACAGAGCAGCCTTCAAAGCCGGCATTAAGACAATGCTTCAAGGGCTAGGTGCTGAGCTCAGCGCTCAGCATCTGGACGATGGCCTCCGAGCACTTTTGGACGAGCACGCCCCTCCCATGGCGCGACGTGTCCCGACTGGTCGCTCGTCGCCATGGTATGCAGGCGTTAGTGACCAACTCCGTCTGGCAAAACTCGTGCGAAGACGCGCTGAAAGACGCTGGGTAAAGACTGGACTGAGTGTCGACAGACAGATCTTTTGGACAGCGAAAGATGCGGTGGCAGAGATTGTACAGAGGGCAAAGGATGACTACTGGAGCTCAAAGGTCGAATCCTGTGCATCAACCAAGGCGTTGTTCAGCGCTAGTAACCGTCTCCTGGGCAACAGCAAGAATTTCACCCTCCCTACCGACATTGCACCAGAGCAACTCCCTGACGCCTTTGCGGACTTTTTCATCACCAGGGTGCAAATGATCAGGGAGGAGCTAGACAGCGCGACCCCTACACCTTCCTCACCGTTCTCGGAGGACGTTAGTCAGACAGAATCATTTGATAGTTTTCTGCCTGTGACTGAGGATGAGGTGAGGCGAGTCATCATCAGGTCTGCTCCCAAGTCTTGTGCCCTCGATCCTATCCCCGTCCCACTGCTTGTAGAATGCCTTGACGTCCTCCTCCCAGCACTCACCTCCATCATAAATTCTTCGATTCTCTCTGGCATATTCCCTCCCATTTTTAAACGGTCGATTGTCCTGCCACTCCTAAAGAAACCCTCACTTGATCCAAACACACTCAAGAATTACCGCCCCGTCAGCAACCTCTCCTTTCTCTCAAAAATCATAGAAAAACTCATACTCTCTCAGCTCTCTGGCTATCTTCATTCTCGCAATCTCTATCCTTCCTCTCAGTCCGCCTACCGACTTGGTCATAGCACAGAAACAGCACTGGTCCGAGTCATGAGTGACCTCCTGCGCGCGATGGACGATGGCAAACTCTCTATTCTCACTCTGTTAGATCTCTCTGCTGCATTTGATACCATTGACCACCAGATTCTTCTTGACCGCCTTCATCTTTCTTTCGGACTTACTGGCTCAGCTTTAAACTGGTTTCAATCATATCTTTCTGACAGAACTCAAAAAGTTTCTATTTCAAACCGCTCTTCCAAACCTTCAGCCCTGTCTATTGGAGTTCCTCAAGGATCGGTCCTTGGGCCGGTCCTTTTCATCCTCTACACTAAACCTCTATCATCTCTCATTAGCCACCACTCAGTTTCCAGTCAATCCTTTGCTGATGACACTCAAATCAGTGACTCTTGCTTTCCTGATCAACTTGATGCCACAATCCTTCGCATACAGGAGTGCGTGGACGATGTAAAGCGTTGGATGACTTGCAACAAACTGAAGCTAAATGATGATAAAACGGAAATCCTTCTCATCCACTCTCAAAACAAACCTCTCCCTCCATTCGCTCCTTCTTCTATATCTATTGGCAACTCTGACATCACACTCTCTCCCTCTGCCAGAAACCTTGGAGTCACTCTTACGGACACCCTCTCCATGGACAAACATGTCACGAATATATGCAGATCAGCATATAACGAAATTAGAAAAATCAGCACCATTAGACACCTCCTCTCCTTTGATGCCACAAAAACTCTCGTCTCTTCACTCATTCTTTCAAAATTTGACTACTGTAACATTCTTCTCTCAGGCATTCCTCAACACCACATAGAAAAACTTCAGAAGGCACAGAACTCAGCATGCAGACTCATTTTTAAATCAAAGAAACATGACCACATTCAACCACACATGCGGCAACTCCACTGGCTTCCAATATCCTCTCGCATCAAATACAAGTCTGCCAATCTTTGCTTCAACTCGTTCACTGACCCTCACTTTCCTGTCTATCTCTCTGAACTGTTGCTTCCTTACATCCCCACAAGACAACTACGTTCTTCCATTGACAGTAGAACCCTCTCAATCCCAAGAACTAAAACTAAGACCATCGGTGAACGCTCCTTCTGCTTCCATGGGCCCACGTTCTGGAACCAGCTCCCCTTCCATATACGTCATAGTGAAACCTCGTCCATTTTCAAAAAGTCCCTTAAAACTCATCTGTTTAGGTCCGCCTATGACCTGTGATGCACCCTCCTTGCCCTACCTCATTTTCTGTTTCGGGTTGATCCTGAAGTGTCAAAGTGTCTCATTTGCATTTACTTAGTTTACATGTTTTAATAATTGTAAAGCGCTTAGAGCTTTATGATAAGCGCTATATAAAAAATTCCTAAATAAATAAATAAATAAATATTGGCATTTGTAATTGAAATTTTCATTGAAATATTTTAATGAAAGCTTTTTAATTTAATTAAATCAGTAATCAATTTTTTTAAAATCCCAATAAAAGTGTCAAGGAAAAGAGCGTCAATACACGTCACTACCCTCTCTATATTGAGCCAATGCGACTAAACAGTGGAGTATTTATGGAGCGCATTCTGGATTTATTGTGATATATTATGCACCTCTTACCATGGTTTACTCGCAAAACTTAGTTGCTTTGCCCCAGTTATTATATAATATAATTGAAATACAGACACTGATAGCAATAAATAGTATTTATAGATGAATACATTTCTGATTCCGTGTTCATGAAATGTGTAGAAAAATCTGTCGGTGGCTCCTCTTTATAGTATATTCTCTACTTTTGTACGGTATATCGATTACGCTTTACTAATCAATGGCGTAGTTAGGTTTGGTGTCACCTCCCCCCCCTCCCCCCGACTACCAAGATGGATTTCGTCTTGTTCAAATAAGCCCACAGTATAACAATGACAAGAAGAAAAACAGATTAATTGAAGGTCAGGAGGTCAATGTTTTTCAAACTGTAACATCGTTAAGTTATTATAGTTATTTTTAACTATAATAAAAAATTTAAAATTTTTCAATCGCTTGATCAAAATCAATATGCTTCACCGTATCACTTTAAATTTACATTAGAGCCAGCTCGATAAGCCTTAGTTTTGAAAAGCTCCGCTCACATGAAGCCACAGACACACAGATCGTAGGAAAGAATTGAGAGCATTGGAAGAAATTCTAGGAAGTCCCTTTCAGCTATGCTGGCATCCGTCCGTCACAATACAGCTTGGCACGAGTGACGTCGCAGGAGTTGTCGGAATGTTTCATTGTATCAATGTTATCCGCCTTTCGGGACTCCATCTCCGGGTTTGATTTCAGAGTTTCCTTCTCTTAGATCTCAACGGCAGGTTCCAATTGCTCAGGGTAGTACCCGGGGTGCTGGTGGTGTTTTTGCTCTAGCTGGAATTGAACTCCAGACCACCAACTTGAGATTTGCTCAGTTTAGACCACTCGGCCACCCAGCACCCAGCTATGAATTTTAAAATATCAAATAACTTTGTGAAATTCAATAACAGCTGCAATTAGGTGTCTTCTAAGTCTTTGTATTTCTTTTAAAAAGCTCATCTTCTGATAAATCAAAGAAAGTGGTTAATTTTGGAACGAACACCAATAATTCTGCTGATGCTAGACTCTTGGGTTGAAAAGCAGCAAACAAATCTGCTACTTCCTTGATCGCTGATGATCTGATCTGGAGTTCAGAATGAAAGTGATCCATTCACTCCATCATCTCCCTAATGTTTTCTTCTCACATAGAGAGTCCAGCATCTATCAATTTGCTCCTGCCATTCTCCGCTTAAACTTTAATCTTCTCTCTACCGAAATTCCATTTTGGTCTGAATTTAAAAGTGTCTTTTCAATAGTATATTCTACCAAGTGACAGCGCATCTCGTGCAGAAACAATCTTAAGACCTCTAGGTCGGTCACCACTTTGTCAAGAGTAAAGCCTTTAGTCTGTAGATACTGCTGTGTAAGATTAACTTCCTCAAGAAGATCAGCTCAAAGGTAAAGGTAGCAGATAAAAGTGAAACAAAAGACAGTATGTAAAAGACCTTGTGCTTTGCCTCTTTGTATGTTCAAATGGATCACTTAGAACTTCAATCGCCGCCACACATTCATAAACATTTATCAAACTTACCTTTCACTGATTTAACAGCAGCCTGATGAGCACTCCAACATGTTGTTGACAGACTTTTCACCGATAGTCCAGTGTGTTCAAATTGGATTGTTTGCATGTGTGGAAAATTTACGAGTGATTGGTTATCCTTTTATGAAATTCGGTTAGAACAAGCATTGCTTGCGTGCTCTGTAAAGGCGCAATTTTTCAATATTGTGTCACCTCCCGAGATGGTGTCACCCGGTGCAGCCCGTTACCACCGCACACCCTTGCTTCGCCACTGTTACTAAGGACATATTTCTAGTTGTTAACAGCCGCTTGAACTGTTTGACTGACGTCTATTCATGACTCTTCTACTGTTTGACTGATGCTTATTAATATTGAAATGTATATTTTTGTTTCCGACAGAAGTACACCAACACTCCCCCCAGTCTTGCAACATTAGAGACATTACCCTGCTGTTTAGGAACAGTAAAAGTCATCATGGTCTTCTTATTTCATTGGACGATGCTTGTCACGAGTGTTACCTGGAACGGTATGTAGTTTACCCAACATTTTTATTAATATTATTTAAGTTTTATATAATCATAGCAATTATCTTACAATACAAATGTTAAAATACATATTTAAAAAAAACAAAACACATTTAATGTTTATGCTTTTGTTATTAACATTTTGGCCATGGGTGGGTCAAGGGATCTAAACTTTAGATATGATTCAATGGAAGCGCAATGGCGTATATAGCTATTGTGGTGTAGAGGAGCCACCCCGAGCTTGATTTTAAAAGAAACGTAAAAGGAGAGAAAGCACGATAGAAAAAAGGAAGGTGTATCATAATATCCTTTTACTTCTCAAGTCATATTTGGCAAAAGTTGTATCAACAAAAGCTTTAAAAGCCAATGCAGTGGTCATCATGGATCCATTAAACTTTTATTCAAATGATCCAAATATTAAAACATTCAATATTTGTAAAAACTTATCCAAATATAAATTGAAGTCATGTGTCACTTTATTACAGCCGTAGTTCTATCTCAAAAGATAGAACTTCACAGCTTAAGCTTTGACAACAGCGAAACTTTGTGTAACAATGGATTGTTAGCATCAATAGACGCATTCTCATTCAACTGCACAATTGATCTTGAAGGATCAGGACAGAATTCAACGTTCCTTTACATTGAAACAACGAAAGAACACAGCAACGAATCTCAACGTGTAAGTGTAACAAATGACAAAGAAAGTTAGCAGATAAGGGAGATCATTTCTAATTTAACCTGGACATATTTAAAATGCATATTAAGTTATCGTTCAATTATTGCCATTAAAAATGCAACAAATCTCAATATCTTAGCCCAAAACAAAAATATTAGCAAAAAATGGAAACGGGTTGGGGGGAGGGGGGGGGGGTGAAAACACAGTTGTAAAAATGACAGACATATTTATGAAAGTTTTTCTTTGGGCTGTAACTGACCACGCGAAGCTAAACACTTGAATTTAAAAAAAAATTATTGTAGATTCGATTGTACGGCGAAAAAAATGAAGAGGAAAACATCATTTAATATTTTCTTCCAATGTTTCCAAGTACCGGTACTTTTAAAATGTTCCTTTCTTATATAGTAAGATATTTTGCATAGCTTGCTAAATAAAAGTATAAGGATAACAGTAAAATATTGGTTTTAAAAGTACTGCTTATGAGTGCAGAAATAAAAAGTGCTTTTTATAATGAAACTAAAGGAAAGAGAAATTCATTATGGGTGCACTCACCACGATATATCTCCAGAAATTTAAGTGGGCAATCAATACATTGCTTTTAATAGGTTATCTATTTCTTCAATTATTTAATGTGAGTGCCGATTTCCATCATCCCAAGAAGAAGTCAATTGATGACTAAAACAGTTTCAGCTCCAGTATTTATCTTATTAGTTCACGTTCTCTGCCCCTAAAAAAAAAAAAGAGTCGATACGATTAGTTATATGACCATGGAATAAATCGTTCAAAATATTTGTGAAAATCTCGATTTTTTTTTCTGACGTAATCTAAGCTAATTTGAGATTTATTACTAATTGAGATACTTTAAAATATATTTTATTACAATTTTATTTTAAGCAAAAAGCGTTGCACTGAATGACCTCCTCTCTCTCCAATCACGTCAGATACCAAGTTTAATTAACATCAGGCATTTTTGGACAGACGATACAAATCTGAAATTTCATATGAAAGGCACACATTGTTACCACCATAACATTTGTAAAAATATTTATGTATGCTCTGAATCTCAGAATTTTGACAACGGAATGAGTTAGATAACAAAAATGCAATGTGCTCATCAATAAGCAAAAAAAAAAAAAAAATGCCAATTGAACCATTATATAGAACTAGAAAAAAGATGTTTTAAAATAGTAAACGAGAAATCGCAACCATTTTTTCTCATTTGAAATTATGTATTTCACTTTTTCAACCATTAAAGTAATTGCAAAATAATATTTTGAATTTTAAGCTGCTATTGAATATAAATGGCAAGAGCTAAGTGTACATTACAAAATTAAAAAGTATGCTTGTATTTTTCTTTCAGTTATTAAGTCTTCACCTCCCTTTTGACTGTACGGCCTCCAGTGAAAGCACAAAATCCTACTGTACTCAAACAGCACAGAACACATATAACATTATGATGAAATTAAAAGCACTTGCAATGTTCAGTAATGCAAAGATAAGAGGTTACTTAGGAGCTTCAAATGGGGATACACTATACAGCAATGTTATAGAAATGACTGCAGTTTATGGTGAGAATTTAAATTATACCCTACCTAAAATATTAATATGTGACATTGTTTAAAGTTATTCTTAAAACAAAGAGCTTTGTCGATATATAAACATGTATGACATTCATGCCATGTGTTTTCAAGGTTACACCACTCTGGATCTTGGAAAAGAAAACTGATTCAGGCTCATGGGATTCGACACAACATGTCATGTTCTCATTCACTTGTTGAGAATGTTAAACCTTTTTCCCGCTCCCTCCTTGCACGACCAATCAAATTGGACTCGCTATTCCTCTCTTCCGTCCCCATTTTGCTTGCATTAAATCTCTCACTTACTTAAGTTCTATCACATTCCACTTGCTGTCCTTTCCGATGCTGCATTGCAGCTAAATGTCTATTTTTATATTTTACATTGTTTTTACTGTTGTGTGATCGCCGAAGAAGACTTCTTGTCGACACGTTCATTGTTTTGTTGCCAGGTTTACCCATAATTTACTTCCTTCCAACCTGACTGCACTCTCCCCCTTTATTACCATGTGTTATGCTAGCATCAGAGCTGAATAGCTAAAGATGCGGTTTGTCAAATCTGTTTTTTTTTTTTAATTTAAAGAATAACAATGGTTGCAATGAATGAGTAGTTGGTTCGAATTTTTAGATCATCTTTATTATTGTATCATCGTAATAAATTTATAAAAATCCTTTTAGCCCACGGCCCTGTAGGGGCTACAACACGGGTGTATTACCATCATTATCTATGGACAATGATTAGACAGCTATGTGTCCTTATTTTGACTGTACCCAGTTCCTCAAACACCTTAATTCGACTAAGTATCATATCAAGGAAAAATTAGATGCAATCATATTATAATGTTCAAAGACATAATCTCAGTCATGCATTTACCATAAGATCAAACGAAACCATGTCTTTTGGGTAACAGATCCCGAAGAGGCAGCATAAAATCAAAGCATTGAAATTATAATTAAAATGTGATAGAGATTTATTGAACCCAGTCTAATTATAAAATATACTTACAATTATGTGCATAAAATCACAAAGGCGGCATTTTAAGTTAATTTTATAAAATGGCTTCTTGCCCTGAAACCTGATTCTGCGTGTTCAGGACTTGTTTTAAAGTAGTTTTATATTATTCTAGCTGTCACATAGGTCAGCATTGAGCTTGTTATTTTAAGTCATCCCTTGTCATCAAAAGAAAATATCCTTCAAAATTTCGCCCTATGATGACTACCTCCTAGTTGTGGGCTTGTTGCTTTTTTTTACGTCTCTCCGCTCCCCCTCCCCCCTAATATTTTATCTAACATTGTCAGAATAAATTACTAAATATACTTTATAGAATTTAGCTAGCGTTCCAATATCTCATAATAATGAGTAGTAATCTCTAGTAAAATTAATTTATGTTTTGCGTCCTTTGTGCCAAAAACGCAGCCCACCCCAATATAAAGAAAAAAGTGCCACGGGATGGACCGACCCCCCGCCCCCCTTTCCCTGACTTCCACCACCATTGCTTGTACCCAACCTGATTGCAGTCTTTCCCCGTTATTATCATTATGTTTGTTCATAATTTGTTTAGGTTTTTAAAGTAGGGGCTGTAAACAATATTTTGAGAATCTAATCAAAGGAGCGTCTAACATAATCTACTCTTATGGATGAAATAGCATAGGTTTCTTTTTTAAATTTATTGAATAACATATTATGTTACTAAAATATCCATTAAAATGATTTGAGCTTATGTCTTACAGATCAAACTGATGTCATTGGAAAGATAAAGGTTAATAAAAAGAACATGTCAAATGAAGACCTCTTTAATACAACGATTGATGTCAAAGAGTTAACGCTGGAATTTGACTGTGTTAGTCGAGCCATACCGTGTGCCATACTGATGCAAATAAATAGCTCCACTGTAATAAACAAACGTGAAAACCATGTTGTCTATAGAGGGACGTTTAACGGTGGCGATAAAATAAATGTAACAATTAAGTATGCTGCTTGTAGTCTAAACGGAAGATATAATAGCTTGAACTTCATTATAAAATCAGGTAATTTTATTTATAAAGGGATTTTAAAATGTATTAATAAATTATATTTCATGTTAAAATACACTGTAATGTTCTTATTGCAGCTTTATGTTCTCAGTGCTATTTAACCATTAATGTCAGAGGTTGTAGTACTCCCTCTTTGGGACCAAGCAATTTGGACGCAGTCGTTGCAAAACTTGCTCTTTTGTAATACAGACTCAATACATTACCTCCCCTAAGGCAAAAACCAACCAATTCAGACTTAGGGGACCTTGACACCATATGGCATGTAAGTCATGTTCTCATTCACTTGTTAAACCTTTCCTCCGGCCCCTCCTTGTTACGACCAATTGCAGTGGACTTACTTTTCCTCTCTTCCGTCCCATTTTGCTGGTGTTTAATCTCTCACATACTTATGCTCTATGACATGTCTCTTGCTCTCCTCTTAGTTACAAAATTGCAGTTCAGTATTTATTTTTTTAATTTATATTTTTTCTGCTGTTGTTTGTTCGCTTAAAAGAAGGCTTCTTGCCGGCAGGCTCATTGTTTCATTGCATCCTTTTTTCAAGGTTTTCCAATAATTTGTTTCTCCTAATTCATTTCACCTAACCTGATTGTAGTCTCTCTCCCTTATTACCATTTAGACTTCTAGCTTTGTGACAATTTATATCGAAATATGGATGGCAGTTAGCTAAAAATAGACAACCGATCATATTAATCCTCGGTTCATTCACCACCGGATATTCTATACTATCTTATATAGACGGAAGTGTAACTATGTATTTAATTCTGGTGATTATTGAAAAATAAATCTGTACTTTTAAAATATAGTCACATTTATTACCCGAGTAACACAGGGTAATTTCCACTCTTTCCAATTATTCACATCTCTGGCTAGGCTATTTTTAAAACTAACTTTTTTAAAATTAAATCTTATCAAAATTTTTCTTTGCAGAGTTTATTATTTCTAGTACAAATGGGGAAAACATTGCCATAATTGTTGCAAGCATTGGTTCAGTAATATTAATTATATTACTTTTGATTGGAACATTGGTGAAGAGGTAAAACAAATTGTTTCTGTTCGTCGTAAAAATGTAAAATAAAATGTTTTTACTAGTTATATACATATTTTGTTATAATAGTTTTAAATTGCTAAGTTCTTCAATTAATAATGTTTACCGCATAATAACTTCTAAATTTGATACTAAAACATTAAATCCATATAACTGTAGATTTTAATTCCTTATGGTAAAAAAATGGAGTTATGATTCCCCCCACCCCCACCCCGGTCAGTGGTTTTAAGCAAGCTTTCAAATCAAGCAAACTTCACATATATGACAATTGTTTTTCTTTGTGTTGTTTACTGTTGTGGAAATCATGCGAATATCTCCTGCAAAATAGAGTGGTAGTTAAAAATGGCACCCATACTTATTCTCAATAGTTACATAGGTTACATAAAGGGTCGTTCGCAAATTACGTCACGCTCAGGGGGAGGTCGAAAATTTGTGACACTTTTTTGTGACAGGGGTGGGGGTAAACAATGTGTTACGTAAAAATTTTTAAAATCTAAAATTTTCTAATTTTCAAACATCTTTCTTCAATTAATTTGAGGTCGAAATTGACCCAGGTATGATAAGTACCATAAAACTCAGTCGCTCACACGTTCTGGACATATCGAAAAATGACGCAGAAGCTTTTGCGTCCAGTTAACATTCGGCTTTGGGAGGATTTCGTTTTTTGCGTTTTACATCACAGCTTTCTAATTATACTAAATCTTAATCCATTATGGGAAAATGTTGAAGAATAAATTGAAATCTTTGTTTAGTTATGGAAATTTTATGTATGTTTTGAACATAAGTCTCTCCCCCCCTCCCCCCCCCACACACACACACAATTTTAATGGATCTTATACTNGGGGGGGGGGAAGGGAGGAGTAAAGCGTTTGTGACACTTTATGACAGGGGGAGGGGCTCTGAAAAAATAATTTTTGCGTGACGTAATTTGCGAACGAGCCATAAGGCACTCATAAAATGAATTAATAAATCCATAAATGAACTTTAAATTAATATCGAGAGATGGAATTGGTGGTTATAAACGCTTACAGCCAGCCTTTTTTTTACACGATCGAACTTTTATGGCCATCCTACCCTGATGGAAAGTTCAGTCATTATATCTTGTTGATTATATCCTGAGAAAATTATAAAAGCAGCTGTCACTCGAATTAAAGGTATGACTAGACAGGATTCTTTTACAGCAACCCATTCTGAAAATAGGGAGAGGTCTAAATTTATTTTAACTTTTCATCCCCATAACCTTCAAGTTCGTTTTCTGGTTCACAAAAACCGGTCCATTTTCATAGCAGACCCTGTCACCAATGAGATTTAAAAAAAAAAAACGGGTCGCTTTTCCGAGGGACAAGAACCTTAAGGAGATGTTTGTTACAAGCCACTCCTTGCTATTTAAGTACATTGGGGCACCAAAGTTGCAACCGTAGCGGTTTTAACACATGTCCCTACGTGATTGAAGTTGATAAGATCCCTTTCCCTCTGGAAATATTCAGAATCAAAGATGGCTTTACCTGCACAAGTCGCAACTTGATTTACGCCATCCTTTGTAAAAAGTGCGGTAAGTTATATGTAGGAGAGACAGGTCGTCCCCTTGGAGACCAGTTTAGAAAAACTCCTATAACATAAATTTAAATATACAGGCTCTCTGTCCGGTCTCCAAACATTTCAACAGCACTAACCATGATGGAATTTTAGACATCTGGTATACTGTATACAAATAATACACAGGATAGAATTTATATGGATGAAAAAATTAATAACAAGATTGGATACGTTGACTCCAAACGGTATAAACCAAATCTACAATTTTACGTAGCGGCTATGTCTTTTTCCTGTGTGATTTTTAAATTTTACTTCCACTCCCTTCCTCTCCATTCTGCTTAAATTTGTTTTTGTCTGGGTTTGCGCCCAATCTTACGAATTAAACAAAAATCCCTGATGTAGGCCTATACATTCCTAATAACTACATTAACTTAAGAGCCATACATAATGGGACCTGTAACGCAGCCAAAAGGGATGCAGAGGTAAGGGCTGCCCACTGAAATCATTTGTTTACATAAAAAGGGGCTTTTCAATGATATAATTTTTTTCCCGTTTTTCGAAAATCTGTTTTTGTTTGTATAATATCAGAAAAAAAAGTAAACACTACTTAAGATGACTTTAAGCAAGAGTAACGAAATCTCAAATGTGTTTCCATTCTTCGTCTTGTCCCATCTTTTATTGTAGTACAAATCAATATAGAATATCTTAGATAATACAGAAAGGTGATATGTGGGAGGATTTCTATTGCGTCAAAAAAGCCACTTGGTTACCTATTCAAATGTGTTACAGTAACAACAGCTGCCTGTTAAGTATCAATAACGCCGAGGTCCAACAATTTTTAATCAAAATTATTTTAGTTTTAATATTTAAAAAAAATAAAACTAATCAACAGGGTTTCTATTGAATACCAACTAAAAACACACATTGTGTCTAATCACATTCAGGTCATTGAGTGAACCTTAATTTTCACTAGCATATCTTCTATTGCTCTCAGATTAAGAGTATAATAATTAAAAACTAAATTAAAATATGCGCCAAAACACATACCTGAAATTTAAATTTATCAAATTTGTCTGCTGAAAAACACAAACTGCGCCAAACCCTCCCCAATTTTACCCTCTTCTCCGTCAATATCTCTCTGATATTTCTATACCGTGGAACCATTGACTCACGACACACATACATCACGAATCTTGTCAACGCCACCTATACAGGCGCGCGTTAATGGTGTATACACGTGCTGTGACGAACATGTGCAGAACGAACCCTATTTCGTACACCGACTGAGCATACCTTTTATTTCTATATCGTGGCCCAGTAGTCGACTTGTGACTGTCGTGATGGTACGTTGTGTGATTTCTTTCTTAATATTTTAATCCATTCACACTAACTATGTAGAGCAAAAAAAGAAAGTGGTCCGACGAATATTTACAATATGGATTCACATGTATAACGGAAGGTGATGAGAGTCAGCGTCCTAACTGCATGATTTGCAATGCCAATTTGAGCAATTCTAGTCTAGCACCGGCAAAACTAAGAGATCACTTCATTAAGCTGCATGGAGATGGAAAATACAAGAACAAAACGCTCGCTGAATTCAAAGTGAAGCGACCCAGATACGATGAAAAGGCTACTCTGTCTGTTCTCAGCTTTGTACCCATCAACAAACCGGTCCTCACAGAATCGTACGAAGTTGCTTACCTGATCGCAAAGCAGGGCAAACCACACACCATTGGTGAAACACTCATAAAACCAGCCGTGTTGAAGATGGCGAATATCATGATGGGAAAAGCAGCTGAAGTTTAGTTATCCTAAAGTCCTCTTTCAAATGACATCATCAGCGACAGAATAGAGGACATGAGCAAAGACATCTTGGCTCAAGTAGTTGCAGATCTGATTTCAAGCACGGCAAAATTGAGCCTTCAACTCGACGAGACCACAGACGTTTCCAATCTAAGCCAGCTTGCCGTATTCGTGCACTATGTGAAAGACGACGCGAAAAAGGAAGATTTTTTATTTTCTAAGCCTCTTTCAACAACTAAGGCAGTCGATGTGAAGAAACTTGTGGATGACTTCTTCAAAGACAATAATCTTTTGTGGGATATGGATTCTGCAGTTTGTTCGGACGGAGCTGGGAAGAAAGTTTGGTTTTGGTGGGCTAGTGAAAGCTGATGCACCACACATCATTGTTACGCATTGTATTCTGCACAGGCATGCGTTGGCAACAAAAACCTTGCCTCCAAAACTGGCAGAAGTATTACAAATTGTAGTGGAATGCGTGAACTATGTACGAAATAGTGCTCTGAGGCACCGCATCTTCAGTGAGCTGTGTAAAGAAATGGGCTTTGATTTCAAGGTACTTCTGTACCATTCTAACATTCGGATTCTATCCCGGGTTAGGTGCTAAATCGTGTTTTTGCCGTTCGTGTGGAATTAGCCCCGTTTTTTCAAGAGCACCAACATTGTCATGCAGATTGCTTCAAAAATTCTGAGTTCATTCTCATTTTAGCGTACATGACTAAGATCTTCGCAGCTCTCAATCATCTCAATCAACAGATGCAGAGCGGTGGAGTCAACATCATCGAAGCGGAAGAAAACCTGAAGGCTTTCTAAAAAAAAAAAACTACCGTTATGGAAACGACGAACAGAGAACGATAACTTTGCAAACTTTCCCCTTCTAGACGACTGTGTAAGTACGATTGAAGATGTATCTTGAATTTGAGACATTTCTGTTCCCGTGGAACTGAATCAAGCAATTGCCACGTACTTAGATGAGCTTGCAAAGTCTCTCGACGGAGACTTCCCTACAAGAGAATCATATCCAGCATGGGTAAGACAGCCGTTCTTGTTTAGTGTTGAGACAACAGATGTCAATGATGAATACCTCGATGAAATCATTGAAATTCAGCAGAGCCAGGTTCAACATCAACTCTTCAGAACAGCAACGCTCTCAACGTTTTGGTGTCAACAAATGGTCACGTACCTTGCTATTGTTATTGCTAAGAAAGCTCTTTAGATTTTCATACCGTTTGTTACAACATTTCTTTGCGAGCAATTCTTTTGGAGGATGCTGGACATAAAAACGAAGAAAAGGAACAGACTTTGTTGCCAAAATGACATGAGAGTGGCACTTGCCAAGGAGAAGCCGCGCATTTCTGAAAGTGTCTCTGAAAGGCAACAGCAAAAGTCACACTGATTTGTAGTAAATATTCATTATTATGTTGTTGTTTTTTGGGGTTGAAAATCATGTTTTAATGGTTTTGTTTTTTGAACATAGTGATGTTGATGCACGGTTCATCTTGTGCACTAGTAAAATATATACCTATGTTTTGAATTTGAAAAATATCATATTTTATTTTTCCTGTTAAGAAGGGTTCAGTGAATGCACATATGAAACTGGTGGGGTTCAGTATCTCCAAAAAGGTTAAGAACCACAGGTCTAATTATTTCATATAAATAAATTTTCCAGCCTTCAATTGTTGTAAAAGGGAATACATCGAAGAGTAGACCAACAGTATAATAGTCTTCATTTATATTATTTTCTTTTGAGCCGTGAATTTAGTATCTTAATTTTTGTTTGGGATCAAAATGACGCACTTAGACTTTGGCGCTCTAGGTAGTTGCCTGTATTGCCTGTACCAAATGCCAACCCTGCCTTCTGCACAGACATTCTTTGTGTAACGAAATGTTACATTTTAAATTATTCTATACTTTTTAGTGTGTTTAAACTCGTCTTTGAAAGAAGTGTTTTTTTTAAATGAAAAAAAACAGTTTTAAAAATATCATTATTAGAACTTTGGCCCCCCCACCCCTATTTTTTTCCAAGCGCCAAAACCTGGAAACGCTACTGAGTTAGATTGCAAGATACCATTAAAATAAAGATACACACTTTCTATGGCTCTGCATTTACTATGTGATACAGGCCAATGAAATAGAATTAGATCATATTTAAAACGTGTTATTTTATAATAATTATTTTTCCAAATTCTCATTACTTTTAGATTTAACCTGCTCAGCTGTCAAAAGTGTAACCCAAAAACAGGTATTTACACTTTTAAATGTGCATTTCATTTAATTTTTAACTTCTGATTCAGAATAATGTTCTTTCCTGTATTTTCACGCTATTCTCGTTCATTCAGTCCTCTAGGCTCAAGTTTCTATAAAGCCACTGATTCCGAATACATTTAATGCTATTGTTTTGCATAAAATCGCTTTATTTTCCTCGGTTTCCTTTTCTCCATAGCCTCCTGACCATGTCAGTGTTCGGCTCTCCCTGCCGCAAAAGTTTATTTGTTACCCTTAGATATTTGCTATTCCCTACTGCGTTAATGTTATCTATGTGGCGCAATACGTCCTCGCATTTGGTTGGGTTTTGTACTAAAACATTTTTAACTGTTTCCCCATTCATGTTAACCAATAATTTATTACGACACAATATATCCTTTAGCCCTTCAAACGTTTGTTTCTGTTTTCGAACTATCCATTTGTATAAGCGCCTTACCAAGTTGGAATGAAACTCCCTGAAGTTGTCATTCTGAGGTGTTAACTCGTTCCATTTCCCCTGTACTTTTCCTCATTGTATCCTCCATGTTTCAGCAGTAACAGTTTTACTGTCTCGTAATTGTCCAACCTTTTCCTTATGTCCTCAGTCATTAGAAATGACTGCAGTTCCCCTGTCAACATCACCTGTAATTCCGTGATCCATTCCTGTTTTGTTACACCGTTTTGCCTTTCAATGTGTTCAAAGTTTACAATTTAGTCGTCCAGTTGCATGTCCCTGGCGTATTTAGGGAGGCATTTCAGCCCCCAATAAACTCATAAACTCGGTTAGTGTTTGTTGTATTAGTAGCTGTTGCTAATAGATATACTGTCTCGTGGGATGAAATGAAAAACTTAGCCCAAACAAGTAGACACTCATCGCCATGAGTGGATGAACACGACACATCAGGTTCAACAGCTTGTCATTGGGAGCTCGTCCGAACTAATCAAACGCTGTGAAGTACAATTCCCGTCCGAAGCTGTGAAATATCATCTCCGCCCAAAGCTGTGTGTCGCCCGTCCGACACTGTGAAGTATGAACCTGTACAACGCTGTGAAGTATCAATACGTCTGCTATGTGAAATATCTTTGTCCATCTGTTCGAGGCTGTGTGTCACCAGTCCGAAGCTGTGTGGAGTGCTCGTCGGAGGCTGTGTGTCTCCTGTCCAACAGAAACTCGTCTGAAGCTGTGAAGTATCATTCCCGTCCGAAATTGTGAAGCATCGACCCGCCCGCTGTATGAAGTATCGTGGCCCATCTGTCCGAGGCTGTGTGTCGCTCGTACGAAGCTGTCTGAAGTGCTCGTCGGAGGCTGGGTGTCTCCTGTCCCAGCTGAATCGCCTGTCCGATGCTATTAACCACTGATTGGTGTATTTCACTGAGCTTTACACCGCCAATTGATGTAAACCAATGCTGACATACCCTTTTAAGGCAGTACACGTTTGTTGCCTTGATCCTCTGCTGCTGTGTCCCGCTGTCCGTGGCACGATCGAATTAACTACGAGCAGATCATTACTGTGCCGACCCCAGAACATCACCGCCCCTACAATGGGATCGTGTCTGCATCTACGGCCTGATCCCCACAGGGCCTGCTGCCGGGTCAACAATGTGACCCCAAATCGGACACTCCTCCAGCACACATTATTGCTTAAAAACTGTTACATTCTTGTTATTTTGTGTTGCGAGGTCAAGCCAAGCCAAGTCAAGTTAAGTTAAGTAAAATATTTAGATACACAATTGTTATTATTGTTATAATGTATTAGTATATTAATAATCTAATATAAAGTGAAACGCTGTGCATTTTTAGAACTTATATTTTATAGGGGTAAAGAATTATAATTGGAAACCAGAAGCAAAGCGAAGAGAACCACATCGGAAATAATAGCCGAATTTCTGGAGGTGGGAGAAAAGGACCTAAGATTTATGGGACAGGAGTTAGAACAATATGGAAGCGAACAATTACACAACGTAATAGTGACGAAACAAGACACCCCCCCCCCCCAAAAAAAAAAAAAAAAAAAAAAAAAAAAAAAAAAAAAAAAAACAAAAAAAAAAAAGCCTCCCCAGTGACATGGAACTGGACGACTAAATTGTAAACGTTGAACATATTGCCAGACAAAACCGGGTACCAAAAGAAGAAAAAATCAGGAGTCAAGAGTTTATGACAGTTACATATTTTGGTCCTTATTTAGTTGAGTCCAAAATTAATGATTTAAACTACATTGTGTTAACACCAAATCGTAAAAGAAAGAAACAGTTACCGGATACGTCACATTAATATGTTGGAAGATTATGTAGAAAGAAATTGTGATGAACATTGTCCATCCTCAGAAACTAATGTTAACACAATCTCAACTGTAGCTTCAGTTTGTAAGAAAATAGTACTGATACCTTTGATAGTGTCCCAGAAAAAATTGGTAATTACAATCTTAAAAATTCAGAAATAATGGCCACCTTGGATAAGAAACTAGGACATTTGTCATTGTCAGAGAAGGATGTTGTTAACTCTGTTATTGCAGATTTTGTTTTACTCTTCCCTCATGTGCCTGATAAAACCAACATTGCTGTACATGATGTTGACATTGGCAATGCAGTTCCGGTCATGCAAAACCCCTTTAGGGTCAATCCGGAATACTTGAAATAATCTGGTCTGAAATAAAATACATGCTTAAAAATGATATCATTGAACCAAGCTCTAGTAACTTGAGTTCACCATGTATTTTAGTCCCAAAGCCTGACAAAAGTTACAGGTTTTGTACTGACTTCAGGAAAGTGAATGCATTTACAAAGTCTGATTCCTTTCTGATTCCATGGATAGACGATCTTAATCAATTAATTCGAATAGGTGATGCCAAATGTGTAACCAAGATAGACCTACTATCAGGTTATTGGCAGGTTCCTCTATCTGACAGAGCAAAAGAAATCTCTGCTTTTTGTACTCCAGATGGTTTATACCAATATAAAGTAATGCCTTTTGGAATGGAAAATGCCCCAGCTACATTCCAACGTCTAATCAATAACATTATTGCTGACCAGGAAAATTGCAGCGCCTATATTGATGATGTAATTATTTACAGTCAAGATTTTTCAACTCATGTAAACCAATTAAGATCTCTGTTTAAAAAAAATGCAGGCAAATGTAACTGTAAATTTGAATAAGTGTGAATTTTGTCATGCAACTGTGGAATATTTAGGTCGCATAGTGGGTCAAGGTCATGCTAAGCCTGTTCAAGATAAATGCTATTGTATCACTTCCACCATCCACCACTAAAAACAGTTAATGAGATTATTGGGAATGGCCGGTTACTATAGAAAATTTTGCAAAAAAATTCTCAAATATACCTTGCTCTGTGGTAAAAGATGTTAGTGATCTATTTTCTTTGTTTATCCCTATCTGCCAGAAACCTCTGTTTAAATCTAAGTGTGTAAATAATTTTAAATATACCATTTCCTCTAAAATTTCTCTGGTATCCCTCATAGGTTTAGCATCTACTTTGGTGATTTTGTTTAGTTACCTGTAGTCACAACATATTATTCTTATCTGTCTGACTTCTTTTTAATAATCAGAATGGGTGAAGCAATTGAGGATTGTGATCTCTGAATTTTTATAAGATGTTCTAGTTCCTTTTTCATTGCTCCTCCGTATGCATAAGGTAATGAATATTTTTTTCTGCTTTAATTTGGTTTCAGTAGTGTTAAGTTCTACATTGTGTTCTGGTGTTGATGTATGAACTAGATCAAAAGTAATGACATCTTTGAATTCAGAGGTCAGTTCAGCAAGTAGTTTCTGGTATTTCGTAGGTGCTGTCTTCTTGTTGTAGGTGCATGGCACTGCGAAAATTTCATTCTCTAGAATTTCAGGAATTGTGTTGATCCTATCTACTTCATCATTTTTGTTGAAAAGGTCTATGCGCAAATTTTCAGTTCTCTATTCATATCTATCACATAGTCAACTTTGTTTAGCTTCTTATTTACTATATATGGTCCCTGCCAAATCTTCTCCCCTCTTCTATTTGGTAGCCAAACATAAACATTGTCTTTTTCCTTTAAATTTCTCAAGTATCTATGTGTTTTTTTTTATGTTTCTTTGACTTCTAGCTTCTCTCTCTGTATTTTCTTTAGCCTATTGTAGTCCATAAACTATTTTTTCTCTAATGTTGGTAATGATGTCAAAAGAGTCTTGAGATGTTTGTTCTATTCCTAATAAAGTCTCCTTAAAGATCGATAGTGGGCTTCTTTCGTTATTTGTTAAACATGCTTTAAATATTTTTGAATGCCAGGCCAAAAATGTCAAGCGAAATTCTGTTCATTGTTTTTTTTTTAAAATTCCCATATGACCTGCTAATTGGATGCCAAGTACCGTTTGAATTATCAGATTTCTCAAACTATCTGGGATGCCTATTTGACTAGTACTAATCTGTTCTTTATTAAATTTCCTGATAAGTATTTGTTCTGTATAATATATTAGTGACCTATGAATGGCTTTTACTTTGTACCGCGCTTCGAGACTTTGGGGATGAAGCGTGTTTTTAAAATAAACTTGATTATTATTATTATTGTGAATCTGTACATGATCCTCTTGTAATTTGATTAATTCTTCCAGTGTAAGTGGTTTAGATATACCTAATATTTCTTTTGGTATAGTTTTATTATTTTGTTCTTTTTTTTTCTTCTTGTCTACTTGTGACAGCGTTGATAGTTTAAATGTAAAGTCCTTTTTGCTCTATCCATTCTAAAAATAATGCTTGAGAGTTACTTGGGATTCCTGGATAATTTCCAATGGTTAAAGGACAATTAGGGTTACCTATTAATGTAGATTTTACTGTTGCTGTCAACCAGGGAAATACATGTTTAGCAAGTGCCTTCTTGCATTTAATTTCAATGTTGTTTGCTAATGTTACCTTGGTTGTTTCCTTGAAGTAATCAGATACATTCATATAATTTTGGCAACCACAATTGTTGCCTGTGTCTCTCACACATTGGAATAAGTTTTTGTTAATGTATGACGGAAATAATTCAAATTTTCCCTTATTATGGCATGCTGCTTCCAGGGTCTCTGCAGATCTATTGTGTTTTTTTTATAGAGTAGTTGTTTTGCCGTCTTGATTGATATCTGTTATAATTTCTATGTCTTTGTCTAATCCTAAATTGTGTGTTGTATTGCTTCCTGTGATTGTTTCTGTTGGGGCTACTGTAATTTCTTATCTTTCGGTAAAATCACGAAATGTGGATCTATACATGTGCTGCTGTTCTCCATATCTGTTTCCTTAATTTCATGCTTGTAATCTGTTTCTTGATTCAATTTCTAATTTCCTTAATTCTAATTCTCTTTTCTCCTTTTGGGCCCTTCTTTCTTGTTCCTCTTTTTGTGCATTTGATGCAGCTAGCCTCTCTTCTCTTTCCTTTTCTCTTTGCTTATCTAGCTCTCTTGTTACAAATTCAGTCTTTTGTCTTCTTTTATCCCGAATTGTTTAGCAATTTTTAATATTTCTAAGTATGTTATATTTATTTTTTATATCTTTGTCACTTATGGAACTAGTTTAGTGTTGTGCACTAATGCACTATGAAAAATAATTGACATTCTATGCTTTGTTGAAATTACAATGTTGACAAAATCAATGTTGTCATATTACAATAACCAAAAACTGTTTATACAATCAGTGTGACAATAGTAGTAGACTTCGCAAAAGGAGCTGAAAATTAGATATATATGTCTTCCATTATTACCATGGAGCCACTGGGTCATAAGTTCTAAAAACACAATATTGAGACCACAATAGTTAGAGATTCGGTTTTGTCTAAATGTATGACGCGTTTATTTTAATACATTTAAGCGTACGAGCATTACAGAACAAAGCAAAAAGTTGCTCGAGTAAATTTGTAATTTTAAAATATTCTCCTTAAAACTTAAAGGGAAAAAAAATGAATTAATGTGCTTTCACTCATACTTTAAGCTTAGGATATAAAGAGAGAGTGTCCTCAAACTTTATACATTTGGATATGTTACTTATTGAACTTTGACATGGTTGAAAGAAAAGTTTTTCAACAAGGACCTAATTCGCATGCGCATAATATGGATTAATTTAAATTTAGCTTACGGATTCACTTTTTTAGATATAGAATTTTTAAAGTTCTCCAGCGTTTGACAAATAGTTTGGGGTAGTTTGACACATCATGTTTAATTTATTCACTCCAGTGACAAAGTAAAATAATTCAAAATCTGACACGCTTAGCTAAGTCTTCATTGCAAAATCTAGACTCATTTTAAATAAATATTTTCGAAATTGTTTTTGTATTCAAAAATATCCAAAAAAAAATGTATATGCTTTGGATGGAAATTAGTCAGTTTAAATAAAATAACTAGTTTCCTTAAATATATGTATATATGTTACATTAAAAAGGAAATTGATTATAGTAAATGAAGATAATTTAACTTTAAAAAGTTTGTTGATAAATATTTTCACCACATACTAAATTGTTTCCGTGTTACTTCTTAGAAAAAAACAATGCTGACGAGGCATTACAACCACTAAACTCCGGAGAACCAGTATTAAGTAAGTAAAACATTTATGCACAAATTTAGATTTTATTGCCTTGATATTAACTGATAGATTTACATCTTAAATAATTTATCTTCGGGCTTACGTTTTTGCCCTGCGTTGTTGAGGCGGCATATAATACATTAGATTTTGGATTCTAATAGCTAATAATAAGTGAGACATAAGGTCACAGATTTTCCACTTGTCATTTACCGAAGAGGAAACCAGGTATTTTATGGATGATACAAAAAAGAGGAAGGCTAACATGTATGATGTATTGTGTGTTGAACCCTTTGGAATTTCCCTTTTCTGTAAAAAATTATCTCTCTGAAGCCTTACTAACTATTACATTATTCGTCTTAAATTAAGACTCACGCTACTACCTACTCTTATCAGATGTAAAAGGTGACCATCTCACTAAATAGTCGGATGTATGCAAAAACTATGGGTTGTAATTGGTAATTTATATGATCTGTTAAACTACTATACATTTGTTTAAGCGTCAAACTTTTTTTTTTTTTTTTTTTGGTAAAATTATTGTGAGCCACTTCCTTTTTTTTTTTTTTTTTTTTTTTTTTTTTTTTTTTTATTTTTTTATTTTTTTTTTTTTTTTTTTTTTGGTAAAATTATTGTGAGCCACTTCCATGCGTGCAAAATAATGAGCTAATCTTAAAAAGTATGTTTTTTAAATATGTGGAAAAGGGGGCTGAAAAATTATTGGCCCGCTAACTAACTACGCCACTGATTAGTGTATCTATCAGCGTCGAAGTTTGGCTTAATGGCGACCGTAGTCAGCTAAAATTCCGCTGCCTACCCTCGCCAAACTTAGACTAAATTCATGCCAGTTGTAGCGCTTTTGAGGGGTATGTTTTTATCGCCATCTAATTTTTATCCCTTTGAATCAATATAGTCCATATCAGGGGTTTCCAAACTACGGCCCGTGAGGCTTTCTCATCCGGCCCAACGAGACCTTTTTGTCTACGGAAAAAATACGGGAAGTTACGTGTATCCTGCCAAGATCAGCCGCCGCTTACGTGGACTTTATGTTTCGTACCGAATTAAAATAGAGGTGCGCAATAGCTCCTAACATAGCATATTTCCAATGCACGAAAAATATCGCGCAACGTTGTGTAGGAATTATCGTCATAATGTTGACATTCCTTTTCAAAAATGAACGAGCTAGATATCGCTTTAATAGTCCTCAGTAGTAGCATTATTACAGTAATATTTCCTCAAAAGTATCTTCAATGTGCTAGTTCAGTAGTTCCTATAATGTTTCGATTCCCGGCGCTTATGCCAAATTTAGGTTTTCCCCATTCTTATCCTGCCCTCTCGGATACTGCTTTTCAGATAAAGCTTTCTTTATTTTATTCTGTTTTTACTGTTGTTTGTTCGCTGCGGATGAAATAGGCTCTATCTTTATGGATTATATATATATATATATATATATATATATATATATATATATATATATATATATATATATATATATATATATAATCACAGTGAAAATATATATTTTTTTTTTTTTTTTTTTTTTTGTTTTTGTTCTGTGTGGATGATATAGTTTCTATATTTATTTTATATATATATATATATATATATATATATATATATATATATATATATATATATATATATATATATATACATAATCACAGTGAAATTATATATTTGTTGTTTCAAGAAAATCATCAGTATTATTACTAGCATAAAGTGTTGTTTTTGGTGTAAAAAATATATTCTACTTTTATTTTTTATCTTGGAGGGGAGAAAACGTGGCGTCAATGGCTACCGATAGAAAGTAGGGAATATTTTTATAAGGTCAAAATCAAGGGTTGCATTTTGGCATATACCTGAACTCAATGCTTTTTCAGACCAGTTGAGCCAGGTATGCGACATTTCAGGCTTTGTGTGGTGGGGGAGGGGGAGGGGCAGGGCATCTATTGGCGCGCAAATGAGGCTTGATTGTACACATAACCTGAAAGGTAAATTATATTTTAAGTTTTTACTAAATGTTAATATTCTTTTATCATTATTATTTAAAGCAGGGGTGGGCAAACTGCGGCCTGACAACTGAAAATTAAATAACCTTAACCGGGAAGTAAGGGCGTGGCACATATCTAAACAGGAGAAGCCTACTGCCGGAACAATGCGGTATTAAAATCCGATGGTGTATCTAGATTTGCCTTTAATATTCAGATCATCAAATATATCAAGGTTAGCGATATTTCATTGATTCCGATTTTTTTTAATGCGAAAGGTACCTTTTACTATTCTTAATAAAAATGTTACGAAAAATTGACAATTCTATTGTTTTTTAAAATTATGTCTTCGATTTATTTTTGTACGTAATTTTCACTGCTTCCCACCCCAGGGGCAGTCCATAAAGTACGTCACGCTATTTTTGACAATTTTTACTCCCCCCCTGCCCCCTGTCACAAACTGTCACACATCTCTGACACCCCCCCCCACCTAAAGTACGTCACACTTTCTAACAACAATTTTTTTTTAAAATTAACACCTAATTAAAATTTAATCTAAAACACACTTCACTATTAAACTGTATTAAAATATAAAATTTCCACTTAAAAGAACTATTACATTATCAAACTGACTTTAATAGTAGAATAGTTAATTGTCAACAGTTGTCACAGTTATTCATTGAAGCAGTTACTCAATCTAGATTGAATTTGAAAACAAAAAATTGCAAAAATTAGACTAGACAATTATATAATACACATCAATTATCTATCTGCTGCTTTTTCATTTAAAAAAGGTGAGGTCAAGTTTTAGATAATTTCCGATTATGCAATCTTTTTACACAGGATAAGAAGTAGATTAGCGAAACTTAATTTGACTAAAAAAAGACTAGATTGACAAATTATGTGACAAACTCTAGTGCTATTTTGAATCTGTTTATTAAGGGCATGTAAATTATGTTTAATTCAAAAATATTCACTGGACATCATCCATCAATTTGAAGTGAAGTGTTCATCCATAGTTACGACTGGCATCAATCTTTCGCCATCATCGTTTCCTGGAAGGACAATTGCAGACAGATCAACTTCATCCTCATCTAGCCACTCAACATCCTCTGAATGTACATTTTCTCTTCTGGCAATAACTGCCATGAGTTCTCTTTGCCCTCTAGCAGCGATTCTCAAAGGACTGACGCATTTTATTTGAGTTGATTCTGTAACAGTTTGGGTTGGCACATTCTCCCGACCCGAGCTCTGTGTTGTCCTGCATGTTTCTTCAACATTGTTTGTGAGGCAAAGTATAAGTGACATACTTTGCAAATTCGATCAAGTAAGCTGGTCTGCAAAGATGGAAAATAAAGATCTTATGTTTGTACTTTGAAAACTCCCGTTGATCTCGGTAAGGCTTTACATAAAACAAGGCTTCGCAACAGCATACTAGCGCTCCTAGCGAGAGGAATCGTGAACAACACATTCAGAAGATACGCATTTCATGCTATTTTGACATAAAACTAATTCAAATGTTTCACAAAATTTTTGAAAATTATTGTTAAAGCTATTAAATTCTACTAAAAAAATAAAAATAAAAAAGAAATACAATTTTTAAAAATAAATGTGTGACGTCACACATGGCTGACCCCCCCCTCCCCCTGTCACAAACCGTCACACTTTCTTACACCCCTCCCCCTTCTCTGGAGCGTGACGTACTTTATGGACGGCCCCCCACCGATTGATACCTAAAAGTAACTGCTATGAAAGACACCTTCAACCTTCATTTCAAAAGATGAATTTTTGTTCCAACCTTTATCAGGTAACTGTGCTGAAGTAACATCAACACCATTAATTCAATTAACACCTATAATAAAACCTAAGGCAAAACAACACCTTTCATTTTACCATTTGTATTTTAGGGTTTTTCAAAGTCATAACATTGAAAACGAATCGAATTGAGGTCAAGTAGAGTTAAAACATTATCAATATAGCTCAGCAACTGCAGCCATGGAACGTAGAAGAGAAGAACAACAACATAAGATGAAAGATGAAAAATGAAAAGTTTTTGTAGCATAAATTAAAAAGGAATACACTGAAAATTCACCCCAACCCCCCCCCCCCCCAAATAATCTCTAAAACCCACGAGAAATATTTTAAAAAAAAAAAAAAATAAGTAAAATAATTGGTGAACTACTTGGTGTGTACATTTTATGAGCGGCAGACAGTGGCGTAGAAAAAGGGGGAGGGGGGCACTTTTTTCTCTATTTAGGGGTGGGTGGCATTTTAGGCACAAAAGACGAAGGCATAATTTTATTTTACTATCAATTAATACTCATTATTATGAGATGTTGGAACTCGAATTGGCTAAATTATATATAGAGTATTTAGTCGTTTACTCTGACCCAGTTAAATTGATTTTTTGTGACGTGGGAATGGCTTAAAATAACGTGCTCAATGTTGGCCAATGTGACAGCTGAAATAATATAGACCTGCAATAAAATAACAAAACAGTATGCTTTAGAATAGAGCTCCGCAATCGTTGTGCCTAACAATATGTCTCCAAGAGGAGAAAAGCGCAGAGTAAATTTTAGGTACCTTAATAAGGATACTGGATAAAATGGACATTTGTTAGCCTATTACTAAGTATCACTAAGCTATAAAACTGCGATAAACAGAAATGTTTAATACGGTGAGTCAATATAGAGAAATATTATGTAATCGTGTACCTTTTATCAGCAGAATGTAAACTACTTAGTGTTATTGAGTATAATTTGAAATGTTTTTATTTGTGGTAATCCAAGAAATTCTTGGAGAGACCCGGGTGCGCCGTGCGTGAAGAAAAGATTGCTGGGTTCTACTTTACAATAGAATTCTTCGGATACTGCATCACCAGGGCTGGCCCTACGGTTGCGGGCAAACGGGCAAGCGTAACGTTTGGTGCCCCTTTAAGTATTATATAAACATTTTTGTAAGGAAATAATAAAGAGTTAATTACAGAGGTTGTTGTTTTTTAAAGCCAAAATTTCAAACATTTTACATGACATCCTGTA